ATCCCAATTAGTACGCAAGGAACATGCAACCAGGGAAGGGAATGTTTCGTTCTTGCCTGACTGACAAGTTTGTACCAAAATTCCTGAAACATTCCAGAATTAACGAAACAACATGTTGCTTGAAAGACACCGCCAAAAGGACGGGGAATTGGAAATTTGGACAGTAAATGGGTTTCTAAAGGATATAAAGGGGTTTAAAAAGGTAGTAGACACGATACACGGTTATAAACAGGATTTTACTCGTCCATTACCGGGTATATGGAGTTTACCGGGTATTACCCTTTTAAAACGACTTCTTAAACCTTTTAACTCGGTATTTGAGTGTTCGGAACATTTTTTAACGTGTCCATATCCAGCGGTATGCATTTACCCTTCAATTACCCCGTAATTTTAATGGAGCACAAAGGAGACAAAACTACAGCTGAGAAGATGGCGGTGTCAAGAAGGAACGCGAACTCGCGGTACGTCCACGGCTCAATGCCATCCTTTCCAGTCGGCGACGGCGAGCACGCAATTGTTGTTGACGCTTTCGCTCAGTCATTTCGTAGGACATTCTCTCGTAGCGGGCGAGGACAGAGCGATAGTGCGTTCCGTCCGCTGCTCGAAGCGGCATCATGGACACATGGAAGTTCGTCAGGGCGAAGGTAATGCGCTGAATGTCACTAAACATCTCATGCCCCCAACAAAACGTAGAGTACGCGATCTTCCACAGCAAACAGACGCGGCCAAAGAAGTTCTCGACCAAGACTCGGTCGGATGAAATCCGCTGGTTCCGCTCGAGGTCATCGGCTTCCAGGTACCCCCCAGCTGGTCTGCGTTTTGGATGTATGCCACGAATGTGCTCATTGATCCCATAGTAGCCCATATCAACAAGCACAGCCCACATTGTGCCATAGGTACCGGATTGCTCCCCATTGTCGGTGATGGAGAGTTCGTTGACAGACTTCGTGAGGGCACGATCATGGACATCCAAACGGGAGCGCATGATGGAAAGGTCGGATGTCGCACCAGGATGCGACTCACTGACGTCAACGCAGTATCCCTGGGGAGACACGGACGCTTCAAGCTTGAGGCCGTACAACTTGTGTTTTCCACTGAACCAGGCTTTCTTTTCGTT